ATATATATATATATATATACATATATATATACATATATACATATATATATATATACATATAACAATAAAACATTTTCTTTTCTTTTTTCTTGAGATTTTCTCTTCAACCATAAAAAATATATATAAAACATTAAAATAAATGAATGGTTTGGCTCATCAAGTAGCATGTGAATATTTCGGCCCAACAAGTCGCTTACATTTCTGCTTAGCACCAAAGCTGCGTCTAGTCAGTGCTACAGTTCTGGTGCTGATTAATTAGGAGTATTTAAAAATATATCGATTATTTAAAATATGTTTTTCTAAGCGAAATGTGAGAAACGAGGACTGCCTATTATTGATCCTAAAGTATTAACTCAGAAATGAACCTGTTTAGAGTGGAAGTGAAAAACAGTACCGCGTGTGCCATCCGTGGAGGAGTTGGAGGAGCTGCGAACTCGCCATCAAGCTCCTCCGCCGCAAATTCCAGCGATTCTTCATTTGCCTGACTTTGCAGACTAAACTGGGATTAAATTACATTAAATTGCAATTATGATGGTATATACGAAATAAATAATTGGCCAACGCATGGGCTGCCCGTGCGAAGATGCGTTTTTTGCATAGTTCCCCCAGTTTTTGTTGCTACCGGCGCCGGCTTTTTCGGCAAATGCTTCTAGCTAAACAAACCGCCAGAACTGTCAGAAAACACCCTCTTAAAATTCAGCTTTCCAGCTTCCCTGGCTCCTGAGTTAGCAACTTACTGGAAAAAAATTTTCACGGGCCCGTGCGTGTTTACTACGAATACCCGAGAGTTGGATTTGAGCTGAATGAAACTTATATGGACGAAGTATATCCTCTTAAAATCACAATCTTCTAGTTTATAAGATCCCCGAGTTATGAACTTACCCGAAAAAAATTTTGGCGGGCCCGTACGCGGGCGCCACGCCTACCTGGGGGCTGGGTTTGAGCTCACTAATACCCACTTGGACGAGGGACATTATCCTAAGATTTCAGTTTTCTAGCTTATCGACCCCCAAGTTATGAACTTATCCGGAAAAAACTTTGGCGGGCCCGTACGTGGGTACCACACAGGTAATGGCGCCAATTTTTGGGATTGTGGCCCATACGCGCATGTAGATTAAGTTCCCAAAGTTTCAGCCTTGTAGCTTTTGTAAGTCTTGAGATGAAACACCGTGACAGACGCACACACAAACACACACATACAGACAACCACTCGTCAATATGCGTTTTCTGCATTGCATAGCTGCAAAAAACGCATTAAAATTACATACGAAATAAAAAATTACATTAAGAAAATAAAATAGACAGGAATGTATCGATCTATTATTTTGTACACATTCCTAATCAGCACCATAAATGAACCTTATCAATGGAATAGTTAGTGTTGAGAAGTAGTTGTTTTCCAAATTATTACAAGCAGCAGATCCTACCAATTTCGTTGCTGGTTTTTCGTAGGTTTTCGCAACATTGACTTACAGATACTTGAGAAAATTCAGTGGTTTATGACATGACTCTGTTAAGTTTATGACATTACTGCACTTGCCTCATTGGTTGTATACTTCCAAAAAGTGAGCGTTGAGAAGGGCGATGTGGATGGTAGATTCGTCGTGGTGGTGGTTTGTAGAATTCAGCATTTAGTGTGCCCAATGTTGGCATCGTACCAGCAAGTGATGGCCGTGCTGTGCTCAGTACCAACGATGTATCCAGCCAATCTTCACCAGTGCATTGTGAAATTTGCCCGAAATATGATAGCTGAAAAGT